TAATTATTTTAATTATTTTTATTTCCAAACTGATTTTAACCAGTTCTATAGTAAGGTAACATTCCAATAGACAATATGCAAAGCTTTTTTTTCAGTTTACAGCAGTATTTATTACACAAAATTTAAGTAAAGCTTAACATGCCGATCTTGCCCCGGTCTCCCCTATAAATAAATATATCAATGGTGCAGTTCATTATTAAATTTTTTTTTTGATATACTTTGAACTTGTATATGATTTTTTGAACTTGTATATGAGTTTTAAATATTAAAACTCATATACAAGTTCTTACAGAAGAGATAGAAGTATCCTCAATTCATAAGCATAGCAGAACTCATTCATATAATATATATATAAATTACATGTAAACAGATGGCCATAAATACATCAATCACTATAAGAAATGTGTGAATTATCATAAATATATAGATTTCCAGGGTTTCTCCTAAGGCCAAGTTACATTGATTCTTATTTACTCTTTTACAGATAAACAGGATGCTGAGTAAGAAGAACAAATTCAGATTTTTGATGGTGGGGATTTGCAAAGCTTTCCATTATATACCGAAGAGTTGGCAAGCATTCTGCTGGAATTTCTTCCAGGCGATATGATATTTTTTGCTCTCATCAGTATCAAAATGTCATCACCTATTCTTTAGTCTGTCTAAATATATAATGCAAAACTTGATGGTCTTGTAATAAAATGAACACCATACATAAATTTTCCAGCACAAAAAGTTTGAGTAACAAACATTTTTGCTTTATTTTATAAACCTGCTTCGGGTTTCAAATTACACAATTCGAAATTTACAAATTGGAATGTTTCAAATTCTGTTTTTCAATAATATATACTTATGTATACATAATTATACTATTTAAAAAAAATTTTTTAAATATTATTATTGAATATTTGAAACATTCCAATTTGGGAATTTTGAATCGTGTACCTTAATTCAAAACCCAAAGCAGGTTTATAAAATAAGCCAAAAACATCTGTTACACAAACTCTTCGTGTTGGAAAATTTATGTATGGTGTTTATTTTATACAAGTTAGCTATTCCAGTCTTAATTTTGGATTTCAGTTGACTGACTTTTCAAGTAAATACAGAAGGAGTAGATCTTGATTTGGGAGTCGGAGAATTTTAAAACATTACCAAATTTTTGAAGCATTCTGGTAAATCCGGGGAGTCTACAATCCACAAATTCACAGTCAGCGAAAAGTCACCAAAGAGTTTAAATGGCCGCATCTGGATTTCCCACTAATCTCACACAGCAGTCCGAATACAGCCTATTAGACTCCTTTCTTTTAAAGATAAAGCTCGGGAACAAACCGAGTAAGATGGAACAAACACAAGTTAGTTTGACGGTGGAATATACACACAGTGTGAGGTCGCCGAATAATTAAATAGCTTCATCCCGACTACCGTGCACGATTAGTAGGAAATCTGGATGCAGCCATCCACTTCTTTGGAGACTTCACACCGTGTATAGATTTAATCATCGAAATAACGGGTGTTTGTTCTACCTTATTAATGCAATCCAGAGCTTTGCCTGTACAAGAATAAATACTCGTGAAATAACTAACAATTTGCAAATTTATAATTGAAAACTTAATATTTTACATAATATAAACCAATAAAACACGAATATGCACATTATATACACACAATCATGGAAACATGTAAAAGATGTATTTCCCTATGCTGCACCTCGAGATGCGATCACATGCTACACGAGAAAATCAAACATAACATTTCATTTACGTAGATATTAATCAGTAACTTGTAATGATAAATCATGATTATAAACATAAATAAAGCTTACTTTTATTAGATGTTACAATACTTAAGAAATCTTCCGAATAATCTTAGAACTTTACATGTGTCGATACTTGCCCCCTGCTGTCAGAAATTCGAACTTTCGTAATATAATAATTTTATTATTTATCAAAATTCCTTAAGGTGTAATAATTATTAGGGTATAAAAGTTATTAATTAACTTTACTGGCTTACAATATGAAATTTTAACTTCTCATCCTCATAAGTGTTAAACGTCGGCCTACCGCTCTGGGGGGGACCGAAAACGAGTGTCCCATGTTCAGAGTCGGTAGATTAACTGGTCTTTCGACTAATAGTTCAAACTTAGCTAGAGACAATATTTGCCGCTAGTCGGCGCCACTGTTAGCAGGAGATCGTTGTTCTTGCTAGGTATATACTGAAGTCAGTGATTTTGACCTATAATNTATAAAATAAATATTGAAAATTATAACGAGATAGTTACAGTTTATAGATATATTATATCTAAATAAATAGATGTTATATGTTTTTATCAAAGCAAGAATTGGCATTTAGGGGGCAAAGGAAACCTATTGAAACTAATAACAGAGGTAATTATATTGAACTTGTTTATTTATTAAGTATGTCAGATAAATAATCTGTTAAAAATACATTTAAAGAAAGAATTAACTGATTGCCCCTGGAAGTCGGCTTCTTATAGAAACACAGCTTCCCTATCATCAAATGTCACAGCATGATGGTAATCAAAGAAAGGAATAGTTACATTATTTATCAGCACAGACAGCAGAATAAAATGTTCTTTAGCTAAACAAATAAAGCAGTTAATACTTTTAGCATTTAAAAATATTGAGACATTATGTTTTAATTCTTTGTTAATATAAAGTTTTGAAATAATCACACCATTAGAATCCTAAATTAGATAGTAAGTGAGCATTTGTTCTAATTCATCTTCTGATGAATTCTAATTGAAACTTATCTTATTCTAAACTTTTGCATTGTCATCATTTAATCTAAACATTCGAATAAATTATAAGAGTAAAAATGATTACCTGGTATAGTGGGTGGAGCTCCGGCTGATCCATAACCGAGATCAGGTGGGATAACCAATTTCCTTTTCTCTCCTTCACACATGCTACAACATTAAAACATTTAGTTATATATTTCAAAATGCATTTAATGAAAGTTAAAATATATAAAGCAATAAATACCCTAGCAATCCTTGGTCCCAACCTCTAATCACTTGACCAGATCCTAAAGTAAACGACAGTGGCTCGCCTCTTTTGTAGCTAGTGTCAAACTCTGTACCATCTTCTAGTGTACCCTACAATACAAAAAAACAATATCTTAGAAATATCACCAAAATATTATGATATTTCTTTTTGCAGTTCTATAAATAAACATTTCATTAAACTTCAAAAGTCATGGAGGCCATAGATGCTAAGCATCTGGTCACTGTGACTGATGTGACAGTATTAGATATAACTGCATCAGTCAAGAGTGACATACAATAATATCTTAGTTAGTTTATCATTTAACTTGTCTGAACTGATGATCAGATGGAAATCTAGGTAGTGTAACTGGCAATGCATCTGCACAATAAGCAGGAGTTGAAGGTTTAGGTTCCACTCTGGGACGATCTTTTCTTCCAGAATATTCTAAAAATTAAGATTTATATATTTATTTACAGTTATTATATTTAATGGGAAATGACAGCCTGGTCAGCTGCCTCCTGTCAAGTTACTAAGTATTTATTTTGCCATAACAGCCCAATAAAGGAATCTGGCTGTTCATTTGATGTTGGAAAATGAATATGTATATGGCATGTAAAGTAGTTATGTTCTGAAAAAGTGCTGTGTTATGTGAATCTACACTATACAAAACAAAGGACTAGTGCAAAACATTGGGTTAGGTTTCAAAAGTTAATGAAAGTATACTATTTTTTTATTATTAAGAGAAATATGTTTACTAAAGCAATTGATAGTTTATTTTCAATGAATAATTAACTAACAATTACAATTAAAAATTCTATGTTATGCATTAATATTAATTTTAGTTAAACAAGGATGTTTTCTTTTTACAAAGTATAGCCATCTTATGAGCTATTTTGTTCATCATTTTTACAAACAATTACTTACCTATAGTCAAAAGAAGTTTAATATCACTCACCTAAAAATGTTTAATTAAACTTAACTAAATATAAAGATTAGTCTACAAAACAAAACACAGTGACAATCTTAAAAGCTAAAATCTGAAAGCAAAAACAGTGACACCTGCTTGATATGAAAGCTAGAACAAGGAAGAAAAACATTGCACTATCAGTTTTCATTGAAGTAAACTTGACAAAAATTTGAAAATTTCAATATTCTAAAATCTATGGGCAAATTTGAGACAACATACATCTTACTTGAATAAAAGAAGATATTGAAAAACAGAATTTGCACTTAAAAATTGTGAAATTTTGTGAGGAGGATTTCCGAAATTCTCAAACTGTGTTAGAGCAAAACTATACTGTACAGGGGATTTCCCCAATTTTTAAACAGTGTTGTAGAAATGCTGTGTTCTATGAAGAATACCTGTAATTGAAAATTAAAATTGGTAGATAAACTACATCCAATTTCAAATTAAATTTAAAATGCAAATTACTTGCATAATATTAACAATACTAATTACAGATAACACATGTAAGCTATAAATATTATTATTCACTATAATTTTTTGACCTCTTAAGTCAGCTCTAAATTTTGAAAATATATATAAGATGCATAGTAAAATCTTTATATACCCACATAACTGATGAACGCAGATAGTGAAGATACAAACATAATATATACTTATATAAAATGATTTTGTGCTAAGAAATGAGACTACTCGTAGTATCCCTAGCACTAAAATTTGATCTCAAAACCAATGTGCATTAAAGAAAAAAGTAATTTACAAAGTTACAGAGCATGACTATTTTAGTACAAAAGGAGATACCCCATGTATGTGATGGCATGAATAGAAAGCATGAAATGCTATATGCACGTGAAGCACAGAAAGTGAAATTTACATTTCTCTTGAATTCATTACTTAAAATCAGTATTGAAACAATAAAATCAAGCAAAAAAATCCAATCAAATTACTATTTTATTTATAATTAATGTGGACTATTAAAATATACACAAATTATTCTCTATCAATCATCAAAGCAGTACTGGAAGTTGATGTTTTTAAAAACTTTAATTGCTATTACTTCCATCAGTAGTTCCTAGTCAATGAATATCTGACCAAAAAGGACAAAATAATTTTGGTGTTAATTTAGATGTTGATAATGATATTACTGTTTTATACATGGCAACAGGCTCGCCTATATTTGCAAAAATTGACCCAGAATGAATAAAACTGATTACACTAGGATGTAATCAGAAATTTCTGAGTGCTGTTGATCTGCTTCACTGATTGTTGCATAGACTTAGTGTAAATAAGTAAGTTACTATAAAAATGCAATAGCTCAAGATCACTAATGCAAGGAGCGACCAATATCAGTGGTAGCTCCTTTACATGTCATATGCAAACCAGTGATATACATAATGCCCAATGAAAAAGAGAAATGAACAAGTATTAAATTTAATTTCCTTTCCTTTCTGGCTGTTCATGCAGCCTAGTATTTGAATCTGATGTGCCTGTTTTCTATTTCATTCAGAGGTCAACTGCTCATGACTTTTAAACTTGTATGGGATGTTACAGGGCTAGCAGAGAACAAGGAGAGGAAAAGCATTAGTGTGAGAAATGTCATCCCTTGCTGCATCGCTACATCCTGGCACCATACAAATATGCAATTTCACAGATAATTCTACATTTTAAAAACATGCCAGATAAAACTCACCTTGTAATGCATGTGAAGCACATCACCCTTCTTTGATTTTTTATCACAAACTTCCGGTCTCTTTTTTACACCAATCTGCAGTTTCTTTGTTTTTGCATTCGTTGACTTTCCTGAAGTGTTTTCATCACTGATGACTACAAAGTCAATAAAGCACATCAAAACCATCAACAGCAGAATGCCATAGAGAAGCATAGATTTCAGGGAAAACATTTTCAGATCCTAAATATAAAATTACATGATACTTTTAATTAATTTAATTTATTTATATATTTAATTCTCTGCATGCTTATGCATTCAAGAGAAAATGTTCATCATATTTATGGAAACATTACCATACAAGCAGCTATACACCAATTTATTCTCTGCCTACTTATGCAATGATTGCACAATCAAATATAACTGTCAGAAAATATTAACCTAAAATCATATGTAGGTTTTTTACAGTATTGCGTGCTTAAGGCAATAATTTCCCGCAGCAGTGTTTTCAAGAGCCTGCGATAAGTGGAAAATTCCCGCCTTATGTGTGCAATTCACTGCTACCACAGGTGACCATGAGTTAAGAATTGAAAATACTGATTGTAACATAAGCAAAACAAAATTAAAGACAGTCTAATTATCAACATTTAGCACAAATATTTTAGAAAAATGGGCAACCAAAATTCTTTCAGCATGAACTGTTACAGTATAAATTACCTCTAATGGATCTCTACAAAACAAGATGATCATAATCTGGATAAATTATAACTGAAAATAGAAATGTTATTTTCATTGACATACTTCCAGCACCTAGTGAGCAAGCTAAAAAAGTACAAAACTGGCAAGCAAGAATCAAAATCTATTATTATAGCTTATTGTCCTTTTATTTTATTCTTATACAGCTATGTATCTTTGGCTATTAGTTTTGGACTTATCACACCATGTTTTTTTTAGGAATCTAGACTTGGACTTTTTTCTTTTTATTTTTTCATAAATTCCAACTCCAATATGTACATTTCGGGGGTTTTCCCCTTTTCAGTTGGAGTAATACATCGAAAAAATTGTACACCTATAAATTCCTACTATCATCCAGCTGCCTATCTTTCCTTAATCTCAAGAAAAGAGTTAGATACAGAAAAACACGACCAGATATGGAAAGCTTAAGGGCAGGAGGTACTGATTAACTATATACAAACTTCCAATGCAAAACAGATGTTATGTTACTTCAATTCAAAACCTTCCCTGTAAGCCTATTAACAGCTTTCAGGGGATCTGCACAACTCTATCATTAAAGGAAAAGTATAATGTACAAGGGCAAGCCACTACTAATTTGAGGTGGAAAGCATATGTTTTAATTAAATAAATTAAAAATATGATTAAAAATTGCAGCTTAGCATTGTGACAATGTCACAATAAATGATTTCTCNCATAAACCTGGTTTTGGGTTTAAATAAAAGCTTTTTCATTCTTATAATAAAATGCATATAAAAAATTATGAAATCGAACTCGAAGGTAATATATCTTTCAATAAAAAGAAAACATTCGACCTCACAGGGATTCGATCTAGCGGTCTTGTAGTGATTGCAGTGCCCCTGGTGGTAACACTTGTCTCTAGTTGATCCTAGCAACAAGCGAAGATAGGAAGTCGAAAGACCAGTTAATCTACCGACTCTGCCCATGTTCCACATATATAAAATGAAAGGATTAAGAATTATAAAATGTAAGGAAGACGTTGGAATGTTCGAAACGAATTCGATCTGCGTTCTGGAGCATTTCTTTGCCTTTTGTTAGTATCGTCTATTTTAAATACAAGTAATAGTTTCTCAGCCTGATTACCTTGCAACTGATTTCAAAAACATCTGTCAGTACATTTGGGTTTATATCTTTAATAATGGATGTATTTGTGATATTCATAACCAACCAAAATCAAAATTATTTAATATTTGACTTTATTTATTTAATATCTACTTTGTTCCCTACAACATCAAGTTAAGGAATGTTTGAGTGCTCCAAGTGCTTTATTGTTTTATTTGTTTACTGCAATGAGACACGTGAGAGATCTTCCGACGATGGGATGTCTCCCTGGGGGACTTTCTGTGGAAAACTGGTCCCTATTTAGATGTTACTAGCGTTATGTAAAACCGGAAAACTTCATGTATTCAGCTCGTTGACGAGGCGCAAACCTACAACCAACTACCAATGTTCAGTGGGTTTATTCAACTAGTGGGCCTTAGATGTTGCAATTTCTAAATTCCACTAGTGGGTCTTAGATGTTGCAATTTCTAAATTCCAAATTTCCAATATCAAGTTAAGGGATGTTTGAATGTTTTATAAGAATTCTGTCTAATAAATTCTTTATTAAAATTGACTGACCTAAAAATGATAAGTTCTGTACGCTTTCTTCAACACACGGCAAAAGAACTAGATAATGACATATTAATTTTATAGTGAGAATGAATTCTTTTCCATTTAAAAAAAGTTTCTATCTTCTTGAGCTGTTGTAAAATACTGAAATGTATTTAATTTGAAGCTCATTACTTGTTATCAAATGGGAAACAATTAACTTTTTGTTGCCTTCACTACAATGGATTCCCAAACTGTTTTGGCTGTCGACCCATTCGAAAACTTCATAACATTTTATCTACCCTTTCTAACTTTTTGCTATTATAATAAAATAATAATAATAAATCCGGTAAATCAGTATTAATTCATAAACTATTTTCAAAGAAAATATTATTTGGAGGGCAAAATAACAAACAATTATTTATTGCTCGTTAATTTGCACACCAAATAATTATTAATTTGCATTGTGATGACAATATCACTATCGTCACAATGTAAAGCTGCAATTTTTAATCATATTTTTTAAAATTTATCGCCTCGCGCGCCTAACACCATGTTAATTAATTTAAAATACATATATATCTTTATCTCAAATTAGTAGTCTTGCCCCAGTATATCATACTTTTTCTGTTAGTAATAGAGTCGTATCGGTCATCTATCTAACGCCTTTGAAGATAAAATTTTTGAATTAAAATAATATGTCTTCCGGTTTACGAAGTTTATATATACTTAATCAGGGCCGACTGCCCCTACGATTTTCATATCTGGTGTCCGCTTTCATCTATCTAACTTTGTTTTTGATAATCGGGAAAGATAAACAGGCAGACAAAAGTGGGAATTTATACTTCTACAATTTTTCTCAATTTAGAGAGGTAGAATTAATCCTATTAACAGTAAGTTGTTTTTTCTAATTGAAATGAAGAAGGCAAAATTCTTTCAGCCACATAAAATTTACACTGCATCTATTTAAAGTGTTTGACATAAAATGATAATAATACACACATAATACTGCGAAGATGCTCATATTGTACTCTTCAGGAAATTAGTTTAAATGAAAATAAAACACACAAATTAATATATCTTTTTATAATTTCCTACAGAATATTTAATTAAAGTGAAGTGAAAAGAGGTTATATTAAATATATAAGAAACGGTGGTTTATCCAAACTTATAGCTTACAATTAATTCCTCCTCTTGTCCTTCATGGATCGTGCTTCACTAAACACCATTTCATTAAGAAGAGTCCTGGAAATTGCTGACAAGCAACGTCTTGACATTTTGACAATTCAGAAAAGACAACAGCAGTTTTTAGTAATAGGAGCTAGACTCTCTTTTGCAGAGTACTCTATGTGCAGTAAAGGCTGCACCAAAACGTATGTCCAAGTAAGTGAGTTGAGCCTGAGAATAGGATAGTCAAAGAAGGCAATGAAGGACTGTAGTTCCCTTTTGGGTTACACCAAACCGGAGCTGGAGCCAAGTGTTAGAGCCCGTGCACTTTTCTCAGGTTCGACTTATAAGAGTTCAAGGCCAGTAGCCACTGGATATCACACCAATCCGATGATTAATTAAGACATAGCCTCTTTGAACTCTGTAGTGCCATTTGGAGAAGCAGAGGTAATTTACTTAGAGTTATTATATGATGGATGGACCACCTCCTGAAAAATTCTTAATGTTTTTCGACTCGTCGGAAATCGATCCCGGGACCCCACATGAATAGGCTGCCACGGTGATCGCTCAGTTATCCTGTCGCCTTTCCCTCATAGATGGTGCCGATGATAACCGAGAGAGGCCTGGAGGATAGTGAAGATGATAAGAGACAAACGGCGCTGTTACTTCACCTGTAAAAAAATCTCTATCAGGGAGCTACTATGTTTAGTTTGAAACTACGATGCTCAATCACAAGCCGTAAACAAACCGATGATATATTTAAATTGAAAGACTTATTTTTCGATTTCCAGTAATTTTTTTTAAGTGAAAATTATTTGCTTAGCAACTAGTAACTAACCTTAAAGCAACTGATGCCAAATTTCGACCGATACAAACCCAAAATATTATATGAATAAATTTTAATAATATATAACGAATGATGCAAACTATATTTGTTCTATTAAGTACTAATAATTTCCTAATTTGTAAACATGTAAAATATTTTATAAAATTATCTCTTAAATTAGCGATTTAGATTTATTGTACTAAATTAATAGAAATTCCATAAATATCCATGAACTCATGCTTAGAACAAGTAAATGTATTAACAATTAGCTAAGTAAATCCATTAAATAGGAATGCGCTATCATGCACGATAAACATTCAGGTAATTTTAAAAGCTAGAAGAAATTTAATGAGGCTTCTTACTAAAGTAACTTTAATGACATAAACAAGTACGAGCTCGTGTCATTATAGACAATTTTCAAAAACATTTCCTTTACATTACGTTTCATAGATTTGGAGCAAAATGAATGCGGATATAGCAGAAGAAATTTGCATGAATTGTTTTCTCTCACCCTGTAGGACAATAGCCCTGGTTTATGCTATGGATCCTTTTCCAATTTGCTCCTGTCAACGGCCAATTTGCGAACTTAAATATTCGAAATTCAAAGAGATCTACGTTCGATTTATCCTGTTTATAAACTGGCTCTTTACTTTTATTTTATTATGGCAATCGTTACCAGTATTAGGCGAATATGCTTTGTGTCTTGAATGGTATGGCGTATTTCAAACTAATGGAAAAGTGATGAAAATATCTCTTCTAGTAATATTCTTTACTTACTCAATATTATTGACCTTTATCAGCCTCAACAAATTCAACCTGATTAACAGACTAAGAAACAGATATTTTTATGAGAAAATGATCATCGAGAATAATGTTTTAGTGAGAAATGTCTCGCTTCTCGTTTCAGTTATTGTCATAGCAATAATTATTACTCATCAAATTGTCTATTTGTCTGTTTCCTATCCTGCATTTAAAAACAAAGAATATTATCAATTCGAAACAATCTTTTGCCACACTTGGCTTGAAATAATGACAAGTTTCATTACAGGAGGAATTGCATATGGTCTACTATTAATTGCTTTATCATTCTTTGTCTTTTATAAAGAGTTGGAAGAACTTTATGGTAAAATGTATACAATAAGAAGAAGCGACAGAAATCTTGAAATTAAATTACAAAATTGCATGCTCTATCACCAAGAATTGTGGATTTTTATAAATCAATTGAACACAAAATTCGAACTGGCATTAATACTTGTATATTANTGTGGTTAATGAATTTGTTCTGGCGCGGTGAATCAACAGAAATCTTGAAATTAAATTACAAAATTGCATGCTCTATCACCAAGAATTGTGGATTTTTATAAATCAATTGAACACAAAATTCGAACTGGCATTAATACTTGTATATTATGGGATAATTTGGGGTTCGAGCTACCTGTATTACGTATATTTGCACCTGGTGTTGCATGAGTATTTCAGAAATTGGGCTTTCGTTTTGATGATAATTCTTTCATTCATATGCATTATGTCGGGCTGCTCGCTATGCTGCATCGCTTTCACGGTAATCGTGCATTACACTATTTTAATTATAATCTAATGTTTTAATTCAATTCAATTTTATTTTCCAGATGCAAAATGGTTTTCAAGACATTCGACAATTTGCAATTTGCGATTTAGAACTGCAACAAAAGCTAAAAGTACAAAATTCTCGTGATTATATCATAAAAATAGTATATATATTTATAATGTAATATTAATAATAGCTTAATTTACTTGTTAGATATTGAATTTCATGAAAAGATTTGGAAAAGTTTCTTTGTGTCTGTCCATTGCAGGTTTCTTTTGCCTCAACAAGAGGATACCTTTCAAGGTAGTTTTAGTGTCTGAACTGTTTATACTGTACAATAAAATTATAAGAAGGAAATTTAATATAAATATAATATAAATATAAATACAGTAGAACCTCGAAAACTCGGCTCTCGAAAACCCGGCACTCCGGATAACTCGGCCATACCCTGGCAGGGCAAAAAAATCCTTAGTTAATTAATTTTCATTATAGACAGTTTTATAAAAGTATAAAAGCTCTCGTAAAGTATTTTTCTGAGGTCTGTCTTATCAGGTAAATTACTGTACACAGTGTATACATTAATTTTCATTTTCATGTAGTAAAGGCTCTATGCCTTCATAAAGGACGTACTTTTCCTTTGTTTAAGGGTATTTGGGCAGTTTATTCTCTGTTATATTCTCAAGTAAACAATACATACAAGTACAGTACAGTATTTTCTGAGGAAACACTCGTACTTATTTTTTT